GAAAATATCCCTCACTGTATACCTGCATTCAAGGTTGGCTTTCATATTTCTCCCATGCTCCCATTAGGGAACCTTTCCCTGAGTTCCCCTTCCTGTTCTTGGGTTGCCCAGTGTCGACTTCCTCTACCTGTCCAGCAGATTTGGAAAGAAATTAAAAAGGACCCACAGAAAGAGAGGCCCTCCCTGCGGCCTCAAATCAAGGACCAAATTCTGATTGCCTGCTTTACCTGCCTACGTCAGATTTTCTGACTGGACCCCCCAGAAGTGTCCAGTTCAGTGGACGGATTTTGGGCATCGAGGTTAAGCACTGATGGTCCCTCTACAGCTAGCAGAAAGCAGTGGAGCTGGGCAGTCAGCTCTGGAAGAAGACTTGAAGTGCCTGAATGAGCTGCTGACTTTGCTATTGTCTGTGTACTGAATGAACAGCAGGAAATTAAACATGCCACCTCCTCCTCTGTGCTGCAAAAATGTGTCTGCTGCATGCAAACTGCCTCCTGGGAGTGGTCCCTGGAGCATTTTGACTCCCAAACTCTGCCTGGGAATCATTCGAGGGAGTGCTTGGAGTTGGGCCCTGACAAAGCATGTCTGTGGAGCTATTCAGTGCTCCTGCACACCGCCCAAGTTGTTGGAAAAGCAACATCTTTTCACGGAAGTAAAAAGAAGTAAAAAGAATAAAAAGCTATTTTAAGGCAAGTCTAGGGAAATACTATTTCCTCTGACTCAGACCTTATTTCTATTGGCATCAAATAGACAAATTGTTTATCATAAAATGTATTATTCTATATCGTATTTAGCTTTGAAACATTTTTCTTAATTATAGAATGAATTAATAAACCACTTTAAATGTGGGGTTACAGTTAGCTTTAATCTGAGGACCTAAAAGGTTCACTACTAAAATGATTTCTCAAGTCTATCTAAGGACAATATTCCTCACAGGGGTGTATTTGAAATAGAAATTGGTGTAATGCATTACAGAGATATTAAGAAATTTAGAGGTTTGCAGACAGAGTATTAGGCAATTCACTAAAGAAAAAAAAAGGAAACGAACCCTTTAAAACATACAGTCATGCTTTCATGCTTTACTGAATCACTGAAGACTATTCCCCAAATAAAAAAATAGGACTATTCCCCAAATAAAAAAATAACCCTCAGTGTTCCCTCAACAGTTCTATAATGTGCATTTCCTGAAATGCTGGGGTTGGGAAGGGGGAGGGTCAGAAAGACTGAATGTCTGGTTTTGTTGAAATCAAACTTTAAAGTCAGGTATTTGAGAGGTTAATAGCTACCAAAATTAGAAATTATTTTCTGTCAAAAATCTTTTGCTGTGATGAGCTTTTATGTAACAGTACACATATGACCAAATAAATTATTATCCACATTTTCTTTTTATTTGCCTTTTCATTAATAGAGTTTCATGAATTTCAACACCTCCAGTACATTCAGGTGTACAACTCTGTCCTAAAAAATACAGCAATTTTGAAGTAAATGTAAGTGGCAATCAGTCATTGACAGCATCTCTCCATTATCTTCATCTTCATGATCCTTAAAAATTGCAGTGGGGAATCCTTATTTAATATATGAACATAACATCTAATCCTGGAAAATGTTTTAAGTTCCTTCCAATTGCAGGTTACCAGATAATCACCTTGCGGGAACATGCCTCAGCATTTCCATTTATTCATGGCTGACAAAACGAAATGTCTCTTTTAATTCTTTTGGCAGTTGAAGAAAAGTGATAGAAACCTTTTGTTACACAACCTTCAAGATTAAGTGATCCCATCTCTTGAGTAGTTTTTGAAGGATGTTGTATAGATTTGGGTAATTAGCTAGAAGCTGGGTTTTTTTTTCCATCAATCTGTAGGCAGAGCACTGTCTCCGAAGCTTATCAAGCTTAAGAGTTGCAAATGATGTTATCAAAGTTCAAGCTGCTTATAGCATACTCAAAACACTCTCAAATACTCCCAGTGCAGTTTCCTTGCCGTCTAAAATAATCAAGCCGATAATGGATTTCACATTTCACAGTAATGAAAAACTGTCAGAAACATTTTGAGGCATTAATGACTGTGGGCATAATATGCCCTTTAAGTGTTTTCATCTGAAGGAGAAACACGTAGCTTTTGCCCTCAGCAGTTGCATCTTCTGGACAAATGTTGCCAACAATGCCGGTTGATTTGCTGATGCCCTGATGTGGTTTATATGAATGTCTGTACATAACGGATTTATTTTGTTGCTTCTGCAGAAGCTCTCTCTGAATTTATTCACCACGAAAAAAGGTTTCAGTCTTGCTCTTCAGATCTTATTATGCTAGAATTATTTTTATGATCTGCTGTGATGCATGCTGTCTTGCACCTCACAATCCATTGCAAACAAACGAGAAACCACTTCTCCATCTACTACAGAAAGCCTTGTGGCAGCTATTGTGGTCTGTGCTAATCTGTGCAAATGATTTTATTACTCATTCCATGAAATGCAGAATGATTTCTTTTTATCCTGTCTTTTGGGTGGAACGCTACTACTAAAGTAATTGTCACACTCATGATTTATGGTGGGCTATGATTCAATCAACAACAAATAAGTGTAAGTGTATCTCACTCCGTATCAGACCATGTTTATTGTGTTTACTCTTCATTGTTGGTGTATTGAGCAAATAATCTTTAGCTATTATGCCTTCCACAGGCAGTATTTATCCTTCCATCCCAAATAACTGCTCATGCAAGAAATCATATAACCATAGAATGGTTTGGGTTGGAAGGGACCTTAAAAGACCACCCAGTTCCAACCCCCCTGCCATGGGCAGGGACACCTTCCACTAGACCAGGTTGCTCAAAGCCTCATCCAGCCTGGCCTTGAACACTTCCAGGGATGGAACATCCACAGCTTCTCTGGGCAACCTGTTCCAGTGCCTCACCACCCTCTCTGGGAAGAATTTTTTCCTGATATCTAATGCCTAGCTGCACTTTTTTAGGTGAACTCAGTTTGGTCCACATCTTTCCTTATACTTCCTTACATATTTCAAATACAGCATTTGCATTGTAATGTTCCAGACCGTAATGATTCTTAGGCTTTAGGGGCACTGTGTAAATTATTGCTGTTTGCAGCTTGACACAGAACTTGATTTCAGTAAAATTGATCTTTCATTTTCTTGGTCGTCTGTAAGGGTAGTTCAACTTCAGAGAGTCAGACAAGAAGGAGGGAGTCCAGAAAAATACCTATTTCACTTTTTTGCCTCATTGTGATCAGGTTCTTCAGGCACCCTGAGATCACAGTCAGCATCTGATCCACTGCTAAGGGAACTTTCCCCTCACTTTGAAACTCCCAGAGCCTTCTCCCTGAGACTAAAGAGAGGTTGGTTTTCTCAAGTCCTTGTTCTGAAATTTTCTCAGCACCTCCACAGACACTGGGGAAGAAATTCGTATGCCAAAGCCGAAGTCCATGTAGAGTTCTCAGAGCAACTGTTTTCTTAACACAAACCCGTTCTAACAAAGAACAAGCATTCCCTGACTACATAGCCACTGTAAACTTTCCAGACATTTCCAGTCTTTCTTACCCTTTCCTCAGCTGTGTCCAAAGTGCAAAAATGTTGTGTTTCAACAAGAAATGTCGCTAACATCCCTGAGTTTCTTCATACATGCAATTCAAGGTGTTTGAACTTTACTGTGGTTGGTTTTTGTTACAAAGGTTACGTTCACCTAGGCTCAATTCCTCAAGGTTATTTGATGTTGGTCTGTAAAATTCTATTAAATTGTTTTGGATGTCCCCTTCTTCATACAAGAAATAAAATAAAGAGTACCACTCATAATGGACTCCTAGTGAGCAGTCAGCTTAGAAAAGGATACACAGAGCTAACTAAGAGGAAAAATGTATGCACACACGTTTAACTGAACATTGTCTGATCCAGGGCTTCTCCAAGGGCCTCTCTGTTCTCTTAGGATTCAGACCCTTTGGTACTTTCAGAAGAGATCACAAGGTGGTGGTCTTGTCCTCCACAGCATTGTCATTCCACTTCTTTTCAGAAAAGGTGGAACCTGCATTCTAGACCCTCCTCAATGTGTCTGTGTATGTGCACATGTGTGTGCGTGGGTGAGCATGGGGAGGGGTGGCAGCTCCTGGTTTGTTGGAGAGGTTCTGCTCACCTTCCTGCTCTTGGGGGTGGTGGATAGTTGGATAGTCTCCATCCCTTTTGCTGAATGTGGAAGGGATATGAAGTAACTTACAACAAAGGTGGTTTTTTTTTTGTCAGTTGTGTAAGAAGAAGCTTCACTGCGTGGCCACTAAGCTATACTGTCTACTGGAAAATGAAAACCATTCTTTCACACTTCTGTGGGGTAAAGCAGGCCTGCAATCCAGCAGGAACCCATTTCTTCCTCAATGTCAGTATATAACGTGAAGGTTCTTAAGTGCTAATAATGGGACAGTCTTTTTGCTCTTTTTTGCAGTGCCAGTTGGTAACGTCACCTGTTAATGAGGAACATGAAATGCTTATAAAACTCTAAGGGCATAATCTCTAAACAGTGATTTGTGTCGCTCAAAGACACTGATGACAAACAAGGTATTTTACATACTTTATTAGTAACGAAAAATATTCCTCAAAGACATGACTCCACTTACAGCTTGCTTAGCTCCATCATGAAGGAAAGAAAGCTCCTCTCTTTCTTCTTACTTGTTGAATAGATTGAATATCTACACTCTAAGTAAGAAGTTAAAATTACGTCACCAGAAATAGTAACATTCTCTTAAATACTGCTTTATGTTCTTGTGGAGCAGAAGTAGTGAAATAGGAGACTTAAGAATAGCCTTGAAAAGAACTTTAAGGAATAAAAGCATGTACAATTTGTAAAAAAGCTAGACAAATATTACTTTAGAAACTCTGACCTTGAATTATAAAATACAGTAGCACTACACTCAACGCAGTATTAGAATAACTTGTAAAAAAGTGTACTCTACATCTTGCATGTCAGTTTTTCTGTCTGCATTGCTGCTTTAAGTTCAAGGCACAGTTTTTATGATTATGGGTTTTTTATAAAGAAAAGGATACAAAAATACACTAGTAGTAAGGCAAATACTAAAAATAGGATTAAATCCAGTATACTCCAATATCCATTATCAGGTATCTTCCGTGCATAGACCAGAAATTAGTGTAACATTGTCCACTCCGATTTCTCCAGTTTTGCCCTTCCCACGCTCTGACTCAAAAGTGACCTGTCACGAGAGAAGAGATGTATTAACAGTGAAAATGCAGTTTATCCAACCATTTAGCAACCCTTAACGCTAATTAGTTATAATGCTCTATCTGAGGAGTGTTTTATCACAACACCCGACTTAATGTCTCAAATCCTTGCAGTTTTCTGACTTTCTGCATATTATCTGAACTAGACTTCTAATCCTCTGCACAGATTTACAATACCAAATGGATTCCTTTAATAAGATTACTTATTTTCATTGTACAAAGAAAATGCAAATTGAAAATCCTATTAAGTTAATGCACTTTAATCGCAGTACGTGCTGTTAGTTCATTTCTTCAAGACAACACAACTGCTCATTTTCAACCTATTTGAATCCTTAGGTTTGGGGTGTATATACTATATATATTTACTCTCTATATATAGTATGTGTATGTATAGTATAGTATGTATACTATACTAACTATAGAGGGTATCCTCATTTTTATGAATAGGATGCCTGGGCTTCCATTTTATACTCTGATTCTCATTTATGTAAGGGCTTTTCTACGTTATTGCAGCAGTGCAAAGGACCTTGAAAAGGGCTTGCATTTCATTTATACTCACAGTATTAAATTATACTGTAAAAGCCTTTACACAGCACTGAAAATATTCAGTCACATAAATGAAAATCAGGCCCTAGGACTGCAAGGAGAAACTTGCTGAAGTCCTGACGGAGCATGCTTTCAGGCATACATCAGTGCATAGTGCTGCCTCTTGGCTAGTAGGTCCCGCTCCTAAGGTTACTGCCCACCCCTGATTATACATGATGTCTCCTTTTGCTCTAATGATCTGGTTTAGTGTGATTTGAGAGCACCCTCTTCTACAAAACAGAAAATTTTCATTTTTCCAGGCATGTTCGTATGCATCTGTTGTATGAGATACTAAGGAGAGATTTGGATTGCTTATGTTGATTTATGATCTGCTCCAGAGTTTTACAAAGTGACAGGATTAGTGTCCTAACCAACTGGGGTAATTCAGTTCTGAAGTTACAAACAGATGATAGCTTTTCTGCCTCCTAAAATGTGTGCTCCTGTTTCCCATTTCAGATAAGCCTTTCAGATAAGCTATTAAGAGATGCCTGTAGAACAGCTGGTATGACCCTTGAGGGTTAGGAAATTAAGCTGCTGCACTGGTTATGGTAGTTAGCTTAGAAATTGTGTTATACTTACACTGTTGGTTGTTTCAGCCCCCTGAAATATCTCTATTTTTCCAGTTCTCCACCTTTCATCTTTTCCTTTGTCCTGCTCCCAGACAGGAGCAGTTTTTTTGTTTGCCAGGAACACTCGAAGTTTCCCCACTCTCTCTCCAGCAAGCCGGTAACTGAAAATCAAGCAGTAGCTGCTCTTTGGTTTGAGGTTGGTGAGGAGAAGTTTTAGGCGTCCCATATCATTCTTGTGCCCCACAAAAGCTGGAACTGCCATGTAGTACCCATCGCCTTGTAACATAAAAAAAGGCAAATGCATCTTAATGGACTTGTGTTATTTATTAGCAAATTGAATACATACTTGCTACAAAAATACGTGAAAGCTGTGCTACTTGAATAATATAAAATCATACTGAAGAAAAGCAGCAGGGAGTGTACTTTGCAAGGAATAAGCTTGCACTGTTGGAAGTCAGATCATTTTACAGAGACGACGAGTTCGTATTTCACTGGCAATTACTGTCATTCTTCCTTGCACTGTCTTTCAATAGTCCTTGTTGAACTTCACAGTGTTGTTATTAACCCACTCTTCCAGCCTATCCAGGCCTTCCTGCAGGTTGGCTCTCCCTTCCAAAGTGCCCCCTTTTGCACTCAGTTTGGTACCATTGGCAAACTTCATTAGGGTACACCTGATCCCTTCATCCAGATCACTTATGAAGATATTAAGCTGAGTTGGGTCCAATACTGATCCCTGGGGAACCCCACTTGTGGCAGGTTGCCAGTTTCAAAAGGAGCTATTTGCCACTGCCCCCCGAGTGCGGCCTGTCAGCCAGTTCCCCACCCACCACACAGAACACTTGCCTAGACCATAACACTTCGAGGAAATCATGCTGGCTTTTCCCAATCACCTGCTTCGTTTGACTTGTGACAGTCCCCAGGAGGATTCCTTCTATAACTTTCCCTGGGACTGAAGTAAGACTGATAGGCTCTCTCCTAGAGCCTCTTTTAAGCCCTTCTTGTAGATGGAGGTGACATTAGCCTCCTTCCAGTCTTCTGGGATGTCCCCTGAGCTCCACGACTTCTCTGGGCCCATAAATAAAGTCATAAGCAGCAGATGTAAGTTTGGAGACATGAGGCAAACACAGGGTAAGGTCTTCCTGGAAGTGACAGCACAGAGAAAGGACTTGCGAAAAAGGAAATATATAGAGCAGGAGAGAAAGGATTAGTGAAGAAAGACTGGAATGGAAAGACTATGAGGGAAGAGGGAGAGAACCTGTGTGCAGAACAGGAGCAAGCGGCCTGCAGGATCTGCAGGTTCCACTGGTTCCTACTCCAGCAACTTCTGCAACATTTCCTGTGTCACAGGCTAAGAGACATCCTTCCAAACACATTCCTTCAGCCACACCTTTTTAAATACACCCGCACAGCAGTCACACATTGCACTCGTGGAGCTCTTTCTCAGCGTTTAGCAGGCCTGCCGTTGGTACCAGGTGAGGTATCGGTTGTTCCTGAACAGCCCCCTGCCCTCGGCTGGTTCTGAGGAATGCTGACACTAGTTGGTCTTGCACAGTTTGAGATTTCTGAGCAGTAATCACAGTGCTGTCTAGGCCGTTTGAGTGACTGCATTGCACATCCAACGAAATGGCAGATGCGTGGCTAAATGCCCTACCCGTCTTGGAGAGACACAGTGCATAACTAATAAGGTTTCCATTGCCTTCTACCTTGCCATTCTGAAAAGTTACATTCTGATAATTTCTCATATTTTGATTAATTTGTGTTGAAATATGTTGCTGATTACCAGTTGCCACTGGATATTTCAAAGAAACAATTTCCACCCCCACCATTCTCTGCCTCCTTTTTTTCTTTTATAAAGATAACCTGCTGATAGGCAATCTAATTCCTGATTCTGTTTTCCCGTCTATCCCCTGTTTTTTTGGAGGGGGTGAGTCATCAAATCAAAGCTTAGCTAGAGGACAGAGATTTAAATACCTCTATCTCGATCAGCAGGATTCCAGTCAAAGTCATCATCAGCATCTTGTTTCCAGTCGCAGACCCCTCGACCGAAGCTGCAATCAACTGAAAAAAATTGGCAGTGGAGACTCAGAGATAAGAGGAGCACTATACCATAAGTACTGATAAAAATAATTTACTCAGTTGTTAATATATAGGTCATTCAAAAATTATCTACAATCTGAGTTCAGATAGTGCTGACCTAGATTAAATTGCAAAAAAGCAAAACATTAGAATTTATGCAGTAATTCTTTCTTTAATTCACAGGAAAAACTGTTCTGTGTTTTTACTGCCAACATCCCATCTGCACATGAGTTTATATGCTGTCACTTCTGTATACTGAGTGCCTGCTCTTCTCCAGGTATAACTGGAGGTGTTGTTTTGAACCCTAGCATCATAAATTGTTTGGAATCTGCCAACTTCAGAGCGTTCCTCTCTCCATTTGTTACACTGCTGTAGTTGTAATTAGCTGAGATGCTCAAGGTCCAGTTCTATCCATTGACAGAGAGAAGCTGGCCTCCCATGAGAGGAATTATTTATGTCAGCACTTGATACTCATACTACATGGAGCTGGGAATAGCCCAAACCAGTTGACTTTCAGCACACTGGAAAAGGTTGTTACTCAGAGCACACCCCAGCCATCGTGACTCTGCAGATGAAAAGCTTTACATACGCAAAGAAACATTGTGCAATGCAAGCAAGACAGATCAGATTAAGAATGTCAGCTACCTGAATTTCCTCAGAAAGAAGCATCCTTCTTGTTATTTTCGTGTATTTTATCATGAGCCAGAAGTGCAGTATATGGCATTTAGAGAGCTTCACTGTATAAATCCACTCTGAGACTACTACTTTCTGAATTGGAAAAACACCAGTATCTTACCCTTAATGCCAGCCAGCACATCTGTCTATGTTGTTTTGTTTTCTTTAAGATTTGGAAGCATTCATGGATTTTTTTTTTTTCGCAGTGAAACCTACCTTGTCCTGTAAATAATCTCAGCTATAGCCAATCCCGGCATTTCAGCCCCTGCCCACTTAGCTGGTAACTCCTCAGGAGGATGCTGCTGCCCTGTAAATGCACCAGCTCAATACAATCTCTCACTCCCAGCTTTTGAATTCTGCTTTTTTTCGTGTCTCTCATAAGCAGATCCTTATAGTCAGCTTCATGATTCTGTCCATCACAGGGAAACTGTTTCCCACCAGGAGAGCCGGGGAGAGTACCCTTTGATCTGCTCTGCTGCTCTGCTTCAGCCAGACCTACACTGCAGTTTGTTAGAGTCCTCAACAAGCAGTGGAGTTGTCTGAAAATGCAGGAAGCAGTTTCCTGAGGCATGGCAGAAGCTTAAGTTGTGTACATCAATTGGAAGGACCCTGTATGCTCCCCTGACTGACTTAGCAGTAATTTTTTAATGTGAGAAATAACAGGTAGTATCACCTTACTCGGACATCCACAGGACTTACTGATGAACTGGGAACGATCATAAATTCATAGCCAGGATATTTAAGATTCAGGGTAAATATTTGTTCCTATTGAATTCTGACAGAGGACCAGGAGAAAAACCAAGAGAGCACGGCTGAAGGACATTGGCATACTGTTGCATGCTTTGCAACACTCTTCTAACATGGTTTCATTTTATAGATGATAGAATTGGCTTTATTTTTTCAGAACTATGAAATAAATCAAGTGAAATTCAAGTGCAAGTCAAGTTCCAGTGTGGAAGAACTTTATATACATGGCTTACAAACAGATAAAGTATGTTTTGAAAAGGACACAAAACCAGTTTCTCACATGGAAACTGGCAGAATGGTGTGGCCAGATCCTGTCTCTAATGTGCTCATCAAACCTTTGTTTTATGTTAAAGGCTTTTAAATTGGTTCTGGCTTGGGTAATACAGGTTGTAATAAAAACACAAAATACACAGCAAAGTAAATACTGTAGAATAAAAATAATCTACCTTCTTGCTCTGGTCTTGACGCTGGAACTTTCCTCTGGGTCAGGAGAGGGCCGAAGGCAACTGCTTCTTTCACCTTGGGAGCTAGGGAAAACAACTTGTCAAGTGCTGAATCATCACAGGATCAGAAAATGGACCTTTATTCCTTTATACCAGTTGCCATAATTTATTTAAATAACTCAATGTATGTGTTTTCCACTCCACCACCAAATTCACATTCCTAACCCCAGTCAAATACTAACTCTGGATTTAAAAATTTTGTTTAAATTGCTGGTTTTCACAACACTGCTTTCTGAGCCGTGGGCAACAGAGCTACAAGATTCACAAGGTCCTAAAGTACTGAACATGATCTTCTTTTGGCGTGGTGATCTGCTTCCTTGCTACAAAACTTCAGATGATGATACCTGTAGTTCAGTACCTGAACTCTACCAGACAGAGAAGACAACGACCCAACAGCTTGGCAGCCCTTTGCCAACAGCAGCCTCCAAAAATGGGTAATGTCTGTAGAAGCCATAAATGCTAGGGGTTCAAAGGCCCACAGTTCCGTATTCAGGTAAGGGATAGCTGGTGCTGCTGTAACACAAGGCCCAGGAAACTATTTTACTGAAGCCTTACTCTCTGCTGGGTACATGTTCTCCTGCAAACCTGCTCTGCTCTGCTGTCTGTTGGGAAGGAAGGGTGTAGCGACTGCCCTACCTCTTCCTACAGGTTGCCCAGAGAAGCTCTGGATGCCCCATCCCTGGAAGTGTTCAAGGCCAGGCTGGATGAGGCTTTGAGCAACCTGGTCTAGTGCAAGGTGTCCCTGCCCATGGCAGGGGGGTTGGAACTAGATGGTCTTTAAGGTCCCTTCCAACCCAAACCGTTCTGTGATTCTATGATTCCTCACCCTCCCTGCAACAACTGGCAAGCACAGCCTGAAGTTTTGATAACCGGTCCTGGTGGAAACACCCCAACAAGTTTTTTTGTGTCTTGTGACAAAATGGAAGCGTCGGTACAGCCGCACTGTTAATGTTAGGTGCGTTCTCTAAGATACAGACCTAAAGGAGGTAGTTACTCAAGAAGCACTATTTTTCAGCAGCAGCCTCGGAGACCTAGGCAAAACATCTCCTGCATGATGAGTTACAAAGATATAGAAGCTTACAAACTCTTATTTACTCTAGTAATACTCTAAGTATTTTTTAAAGTTCTATGAGTAAGCTCCTTTTGTACTATTTTAAGTGATTAATAGAGAAGCGCACTCACTAAATAAAAAGATAGTCTCAACTTCTTTGTGCAGAGCCTGTGTAAGTAACTGATCACACATGAGATAAGGAAGACATCTGCCTTCACTGGCAGGGAATTCTATCCTTTACAAACACATATGCAGATGATACCTATGATACATACACACACACACACATCTCTGAAAACAGGGCAGATGATACCTATGATACATACACACACATCTCTGAAAACAGGAGGAGCTTAAATGTGTCATTTTAGAGGAGTGAGGGAGGATCCTTTGGATTACTACTTACAGAAGGTGTTAGTGGAAAGCCTGACAAGACTTTCAAGTTCACAAGTTCACTTTTCAGCCACACCACATGGGCAGCAGCTCTAAGAAAAGCTCAGACTTCCTCAACAGTGTCAGATGATAGGAACTATGGAAATGGAAATTACTTTTCCCTACTCAGCATTGTATCATACGTGCTATTAGAAAGTCGCACATGCCAAATATTTTAAGTCATTACTTTCACATGCACCCACATTTGTTCAGAGGGGAGCTTGTTCCCATGAGTTCCACTGAGCTAGGGCTTTCCATCTAAATACTCCAACAGACTGCTGTACACATATACTCAATTTTAGTAATATACTTATAACCCACTGCAATCCAGAGCCTCCTAGCACCGTAAAGACGATGCTGTCTACTTAACTTTTCTTCTCCAAAACTGTCAAAAATCACTCTGTGTGTACACCAGAGAACACACGCGCTAACAAAAAGGCCCCGGAGGCACTTCTAGGGGTGCTGAATTTTGCTGAGAAAGGAGACTCATGCAATCTTACATGCTTTCTGAGGAGGTGCCAGGAGCATGTCCTCTCTTGTCACCCTTGCAGCCTTCCCCTCATCCAGATCATTGATTAAATCACCTGGATAATATTCTTACTTAAGGCAAGGATTAATATATCTTTCTCCAAATCAATATATGTCTTCATATACACATTTAGGTGTTGTTTACTGTCATGCCATGAACTTGGCCCCATACTTCGTGAAAGAGGCTCAGGCTGTGGAAACCCGTGCCAAAATGAAGAGAGCTGTTAAAATACAATCAGTTCTGGAAAGATTGCTGTGATGTAACAGCAGACAACAGCTGCCAGAATGATTTATTTACTGCGTTATTGAATTACACTTGAATTCACTCGAGGGATATACATGCAGGTGTAGCTGTGTGCTGCAGATGCTTCAAGTGAAGAACTGTCATGCACGTAAAAAGAGCCAAATCTTGTATCTAAATCTGTTTTCAGCATCAGGCATTACACTCTGGTTCTCCACTTACTGGAAGATATCACTTGCATATTATGAGAAACTGTAAGCTTCAGCTTACAGGAAGGTTTCCAAGAAACCTTACTACTGGGAATATGCCTACATTTTACATCAGACCATCACTGGACATAGGCAGGATCCAAAGTTTATCCCCTCCTAAATACTAGGCAAGAGTCAGGATTGCTCTTTTCAGCTCTTGTGCTGTCAAGGGGTGCTTGCAGAAAGGCAGGCCTCATCTCATGATCCCAAAAAACATACTCTCCCCAACAAAAGCTCACATACATCCTACTTCAGGCACAACAGTCTCTCCCTCTTTCTGTACCGCTGGTGCCCACCCATCTACTTATCTGCAGCACTAGCTACTATGTAATCTCTACACATAAACCCGTTCGTATGGTGCTGTCACACATTCTTATATAAGTGTATATATGTATTTTCATGTAAGAGTCATCAAGGTACTCTTACAAGGCAAGACAGGTTGATCTCGTGAGCAGGAATTAGTGGGAGAAAGAACTAAAGCCCAGGTCTTCAGAGGTACCTATGTGACTACTACCAACTTCCACAGGACTTGGGCCAATGAATGTCTGTGATGAGCTGAGCGTAAGTAAACTGGTGACATTCCGATCCTGAGAACAGCCACCTTGGTGCTGACACAGGTTCTTGTATCTGCAAGAAATTCAGTGTTGCTATCTGTGACATGTATCTGAGTGCCGCCCCTCTTCTGAGGAGGAAACGCTCTGAGCCATGTTAGATGCAGTTTGTCAATTGTATCATATATATGAGGAACTGCAGCAAGAAAACAGGGTTTCTGCAAAATAGAACAGCCTCAAGTGGCTCTATTTGTCTGAGAGCACTTCCATAACAGATAATAGGACTCACACAAACCAACTCTGAAACTACTGAGGATGTCTGCGATCGTGGAAACACTTCTTAGCAATAACCTCAGAAAATGAGAAAATAGTGCTGAAAGGAAGCCTTGACACATCATTCTAGTATAAACGTGCCTGAACAGAGTGCCGTGACTAGGACTTAGAAACAAATCTGTGCAGGAAACTAGAATTCCACTTTAAAAACGCCAGGCTTCCAGGGAGCGCTGTGCATAGTGAAATAGATGGGGTTCGAGAGCCACCTCTTTGCCATCCCCCTGTCCGGGGATCAGCAGATAGCTAAGTACAGAAAGATAACAGACCGCCACTAAATATACAGAAAAAGAGCTAGTTAGGGTCAAGCACATCCTGTAGTACAGCGCACAGCAGTGCCCTCCTAGAAGTGCAGGCAGACAGCAGTTCACTCTCCCTGTCAAACAGGTTTCTTAGCACTGGTCTGCCAGCTGCGCCAACTCTGGCTTCTTGTCTGGGGCTGGCTGGCACCCAGATTGCTTGGAGCAGAACCAGAGTGAGATCAGGTCTGCCTGAACAGCACCACGCAGACAGACCCTCAAGTCAGTCTGTGAGTCAAATACAGGGCAGTGAGATCACAAAACCTATAGGAAGCTTCAGAACACATCTGGAAAAGCACTGCTTGGGCTAAGCTGCTAAATTAAAACATTCAATAAAAAAAAAAAAAAAAGAGAAAAAAGAAGCCGAAGTCCCCAACCCAACAAGCAGAAGCTCAGTAGAATAGGTCTGTGGAGCACTGTTTTATGGGCAACACTCAGAAACAGTACACAACCACCAGTAAGTAACTGTGGTGCTGAAGTAGCTTACTGAAAACACAGATGGATTTTCCCCTATGTGCCCTTGGTTTCACCTCTCTGCTTTGCCAACTGCTGTATATAAAATTACTTATAGTGCATTTGGAAATTACATTTTTGTCTGAAAAAAAATGTGGCTAGGTTTATAGCTTGGCAGTTATTTTCTATTTGTCTGCAGTAATGCATGTACTATCCTTATGCTTAAATTCCTTTTTTTTTTTCCTGTTGGTGGGACTGTATTTCTTACAAATAATCTGTGGCACCACACTGAGCTCTTGATGAGGCACCTATAAAGGAAGAACATACATACAGCAGAATATTTAAGTGTGCTAGTTGTGGGCAATGCCTATTTTCATAGAATCATAGAACAGAATCACAGAATGGTTTGGGTTGGAAGGGACCTTAAAGACCATCTAGTTCCAACCCCCTGCCATGGGCAGGGACACCTTCCACTAGATCAGGTTGCTCAAAGCCTCATCCAGCCTGGCCTTGAACATTTCCAGGAATGGGGCATCCACAACACCTCTGGGCAACCTGTTCCAGTGCCTCACCACCCTCTCTGTGAAGAACTTCTTCCTGATATCCAATCTAAACCTCCCCACTTTCAATTTAGACCCGTTACCCCTTGTCCTGTCACTACAGGCCCTTGTAAAAAGTCCCCCCCAGCTTCCTTGTACCCCCTTCAGGTACTGGAAGGGGCTGTAAGGTCTCCCCGGAGCCTTCTCTTCTCCAGGCTGAACAAGCCCAACTCTCTCAGCCTGTCCCCATAGCAGAGGTGCTCCAGCCCTCTGAGCATCTTCGTGGCCTCCTCTGGACTCGCTCCAAGTGGTCGATATCCTTCTGATGTTGAGGGCTCCACAGCTGAACGCA